AAAACTGTAATGAAAAAAAAAAAAAAGAAAGAAAATAAAATTTCCCAAGTGATTTCTTATAGCTGTCCTCTACCATTTTTCCCTTCTCCTGACACATTATAGAAAACAAAAAAGATTAAGACAGGATTAAAAAAAGGGGGGGGGTAACTTTTTTTATAAACCAAGAAATGAGCTGGAAATCTGACTTTGAAAAGTGAGTGCAAAGGGAATACGAAGACTCTGCTAGTAGCATCAGCTGAAGATGGTATTGTGCTAAGCTGGCAATCTTCCATGGAGCTCTGACCCCAGGGAGGGAAGAGGGATGTGAACAGTGAGAGAAAAACTGTCCTGTAGGAAAACTCAGGCTTTCTCCTTACTTCTAAATCAACTTCCCTGTTACTCTGTTTCCAGAAATGACAGCGGTCATTTCAGTTAGCCTAAAAGTACCTTTTGTAAATCAAACTACCATTCCATCAGATAAAAAAGGTTCCCTTGATTCACAATAACCTCTCCCACCTTTAAGTAGACACTTTCTTCAGACACTTGTTCCCCAATACACAACATTCTCTCCAATCCTTTACCTGTTTTCAGATTTCTGCCTTGACCCATACTCCTTTGCTTTCTTATCCATCTGTTTACTGCCACCACAAACACAAAAAAGACACTGAAACAATGATTCTCAAGTGCACTCAATCAAATGATGGATAGAAACCAGTTAATGGCCAGTCAAAAGTCAATACACAATGAACAATGGGTGTCTCTGTACACACCCATTCTTAAGGATCAGGACCCTAATCCAAAGGCAAGTTGGGAATGCTCATATATAATCATTTAGAAATAATTTGAGCTAACAAAACACTCGGTGGCCATTACTTTTAATATTAACTCACTACTTTTAATATTAACTTGAGACAAAATAATTTAACAACAACAAATGTTAGTTATAGCTATTATTACTATGACTATTATAATACTGATTAAAGTATATACAACTGGAAATTTCAAAAAAAAAAATACTACCAGAATTAGTGATATTGCTACTGTTCATGATCTTTTTTTTGGTGATATAATAAATTGTATAATAAACAGACGTTCTACAAAGATGTCTATTTTCACTTTATAGCCCCAGGAAATATGCTCCATCTATACATATTCTACAACTAATAAATGGCTTATCCGTCCTCTCCTAGTGTGCTAAAACTTGTACTACAGTTATTTTCCTATGATGTTCATGCAAAGAAAAATAAGACAGGTCTTGGACTGAAGTGTTCTAGGATTTCTGACCAAGGCAACTAACAGTACAAAATAACTACTCAAATACATAATTAAATTTGAGAGAAAAACCTAAAGGGTTTAAGTAGAGCACCATTTTAATTTAAGAAGTAAGGATTGTAAAGGAGTAATTGTGAGGTGCCTCCAAAGTAAATTATATATATATATATATATAATTATAATTATATTTAATTTATATGTGTATATACACACATATATACACATGGTAAGAAAAAATAAAACACGTTTCAATTTATATGGTTATCCTTTTTTTATCATATAGAATATATAGTAATAATATAGTTTGGGAGTCAGTTCTGGAGGTAAATAATCTAGATTCAAATTCTGGCTCAACTTCTTATTGTGCTACTTTCAAGAAGTTATGTAACTTCTCTGTGCCTTGGTTTTCTGTAATGTAGGATAAAAGTTCTATTTATAACTGCAGGTTGTTTTGAGGATTAAATATACATAAATTCATATTCCTATCATATCATGCAATAAATGTTACTAATATTATTAATTAACATTAGCAATAAATGTTAGTTATAGCTATTATTAGCATTATAATATTGATTAAGGTATATATAACTGGAAAATTTAATTAACCAGAATATCAGCAGCTTTTCATTTCAAAACAAAACTTACTTAGCTAATTATAATACAGGAAACTGCCATGGCTTAGATTTTCTTGCCACTATGAACCAGTTCTAGTTTCCCTTGTCTTACAAATCCAGAATCATAGTTCTGCACAATCAAAATTTGAAAATTGCATTGCCAAGCTATTCTGACTAATTGAAGATTTACACATCAAACACAAAATTTCTGCCTAAACGAAGGAGGAAATATAGAACTTAATTTTTAAAGTAACTGAAAATAAACATAAGGAAAAGATAAGATAGTAAACTATGTTTTACTAAAGAAGCAGAAAATATCTTTTTTCTGTATAAAGACTTTATCTTTGTAACCTTGAGCCAGGTAGGGAAATAACTGGCTACTGACTTTGGACTGATGAGAGGAATTCAGCACTTTCAATGTGGTTCCTGGAAAAAACCAGAGGAGATCTGAGTAAGATTTTTTTTTTTTTTTAATGGACTGGAGAAGAATAGAGGTGATGAGTGAGACCAAAGAGGTTTCCTTGAAGGGATAAACTCAATGTCCTCTGTCCCTAAATTAGATGAAGTTTGGTTTGACAGGCTTGGGGATTAGGAAGCAAAGAAAATGCAATTCTCAGATCGGAAAATCAGCAAAGCTTGTGCAGTCAAGTCAATGATTTGTGTGTTACACATACCAGGGAGCCCTGCGATCCGACAGTGAAGTACGCTTTGCTGATTAAGTACGAGTTTCCTGAAAAGGGATATTACTACAGAGACAGCAGATAGCTGTTTGCTTGATCCGCTCTCCAAGCTCATATTTGCATTTCATCATTCCAGGCAGGCATAGATGGAAACAGTTATAGGGAGCTGCCTATTTTTTTTCCTTTAATTTAGCAAAGAAATTAGAGATGCTCTACATTCAGGAAAACATTATCAGATGAAATAGAGATGTGAAAGCAAACAGGGATGAGAATAAAAGGAGCTAAAGATTCCTAGTCCAGGTCATTTTTTTCCCCAGAATATAAGCAAAATGACCCCCCCCCCCATCCATTTATTCTAGGCTGTTTCTCAAGGAATCCAGATAACCTTTCAGCAAGAAAGTGTTGATATAAATCAATAAACTATTTATTTTGTTTTAGGACTGGCCCAACTTTTTGGAGAAACTGGCACAATGATTACAACTAGATAAATTATAAAAAAATGAACAGATTTTGTTTTGAGCCTTTATTAGTTAGAAATCTATATATAGAAATGTCCTTATATTTGAGATTTGTTTTGAAATACTCCACACTGCAAAAAGAAAGAAAGAAAGAAAGAAAGAAAGAAAGAAAGAAAGAAAGAAAGAAAGAAAGAAGGAAATAAATAAAGAAAGAAAGAGGAAAGAGAAAGAAAATACTGTCGAAATGTTGAACTGTTGATACTGGATGATGAATATGAGGGAGTTCATTATAGTATCATATGACTTTTTTTTCTTTTTTTTTTTCTTGAGAGATTTTTGCTATAGGGCACATGCGCTCGCCAGAAAGACAGAGAGAGATAGAAAGACAGAAAGCAAGAAATCACCCCCCAGGGGGGATGGCCACACCACAATCTCTTCTCCTCCACTCTCTTCTCGGGATCTTGGGCACACACGCACACACGCCCAGCGTGAGTTTAAGCCACCGGGTCCGGGACTCGAACCACGGTAGACCACATGGGAGTTCAGTGACATAGCCATTACGCTAACTGCTGGTCCCTCATATGACTTTTATATATGTTTAAAATGTTCTTATTGTAATTAATATATACATAATTAGTAGCCCCAATTCTCAGAAAGTTATTTCAATTGGATAATGTAATTTATTTTGATTACTGAAACAGAGTTTAATTTAAATAAAGAATTTTATCATAGGAATATACACAAAATGAAAGACAATGAACATGGGTTTTATAGGAAAATAACTTCTCAAATATTTACAACACAATCCAGAGTTTACTAAAAATCAAGCAAGATACAATATCATATATAAATACAGTACTAAGGTAAATGTATTTCATATATATAAATACATATATACACATACACACACACACACACACACACACACACATAAATATGTACTTAAGACAAACTTGGTGATGAGTGTAAGGATGATTTTTCCTTTTTTTGCTATACATTCCTCTGCTTATAAGTTTCATAAACTGAGTGTGTGAGTTTACATAAATGTGTAATCAAAAAATGAAAACAGTTCCAGCCTGTGGAGTGGTGGTTAAGGTGGCTGGATCCCACATGGCCAACCATGTAGCTCGAGTCCCAGACTGGCAACTTGAAAAACACACCAGATAGGTGTGCAAGTATGCCCAAAATCCCAAGGAGAGGAAGAAATGAAGGAGAAGGATTGTGACATTCCCTGTGGCAGGGGGAAGGGGGGATGCTTTCTCTCTTTCTCTCTCTCTGTCTCTCTAGTAAGCACATGTGCCTGCTAGCAAAATTTAAAAATTGAACAAATGGCATTATAATTCAGATAAGGTGGAATAGATATTCTAAACACTGGTGAAGAAAATAACACACAGGCTGACTACAGCTTAGTTATTAAAGGAGCCAGATCTCACATGGCTGACCATGATTTGAATTCTGACTCTAGCAGCTTAAGACACACCAGTAGATGGTGTCCATTGCTGGACTCCCACATGGTTGACCACAGTTTGAGTCCCAGATCTAGTGGCTTGAAACTCATGCTGGGCACATGTACATGCCTGTCCAAAAAAATCCCTGATATTTTCCTGTAGACCTAACACTTTTACCAGGGAAGTCTTTCACAACCGAATGGAAAACCACACACCTAACCTGGATCAAGATTTCACCTCTTAGTTCTTAGCGCTAATCTTAAATCTCAAAAAGTGTTTTCTATGACATAATCTAAAAAAGAATACTGACACCTGTGCCAGTTTTATAAAACATAAGTCCAGCAATTCCTATTGTACAATAAAAATTCTTTTTTGTAGTAACTAAAAGGTTTTTTTCACAAGTAGGTAATAAATTTTCTTAAAACTTTACAAAATATAGAAAAACCTTAGAATTACACATTAGAAGTAATCCTGAAAACTAAAATCATGATCAGTAGTAATTAAAGAATCTCAAAAACTTTCCTCCAAAAAGAAAAAAATGTCACTTACTTTAACTTCCACTGTCTTGCCTCCATGTTCAATATGTCTCTCCACGTATTCAGAAGACAGCAAATCACTGCAACAACAAAAATAATGACTTCATTTCTCAAATCATGAAAATGTAAAACATTTGAAAATCAGAGTCAAGTTTATATGTATCTGCTTTAAAAAGTCTTTAACCCAGATTTTAAAACAAAAATCAGTATTTTATACCTCTCTCTTATGTTCTATCTCTATCTCTCTCACTCTCTCTTTCTCTCTCCCTCTCTCTCTCTCTCTCTCTCTCTCTCTCTCTCTCTCACACACACACACACACACACACACACACAGACACAGCCCAGTATTCCTAAAAGGATATGAGACTGAGCTATCACCTCTCATTCCATTACTTAGAAGACCTGATTCTGCTGGTCCAGCAAGCAGTTCGAGGTACCATAAGCACCCTCTTATTTTCAAAACATCTTATTCTTAAGTTTTTATCAAATAGTTTCAACTGGTTACCACATATTACTATTTATTTATATGTTACCTGTATTTTTTTTATGCCATAATACTTGTCTTAAAGAGAAAGAGAGAG